TTTTTCCCATCCGGATACAGGTAGCTACAAGATTAGATGGAGCACAGAGATACCTTTCAAACCACTTTCTCAACCTCAGCAGCTTTGAGATGTGTGGACTTCAACTCCCAGAATCCCTAGTTGGCTTCCTTTGGCCTAGTCCAGGGATAGGCAACCTTGGCTTTTTTATGACTCGTGGACTTCAACTCCCAGAATTCCTGAGCCAGCCGTGCTGAGGAGAAAGAGAGAGGTTTCCATGCTGAGCCATGCTGGCTCAGGAATTCTGGGAGTTGAAGTCCACGAGTCATAAAAGAGCCAAGGTTGCCTACCCCTGGCCTAGTCCCTCTCTCTCAGCCCAGCTCACCTCGCAGGGTTGTCGTTGTGGGGAAAAATAGGAAGAGGAAGGAATACAGGTCGACTTACGACTCCAATTGAGCCCAACATTTCTGTCGCTAAGTGAGACAGTTGTTAAGTGAATTTTGCCCCATTTTACGACCTTTCTTGTCACGGTTATTAAGCGAATCACTGAAGTTGTTAAGTTAGTGACACGGTTGTTAATTGAATCTGCCTTCCCCATTGAGTTTGTTGATCACATGGTCAGGAAAAGGGATCACATGACCCCAGGACATTGCAACCGTCATAAATACGAGTCAGTTGCCAAGCGTCTACATTTTGATCACATGACCATGGGGAGGCTGCAAAGGTCGTAGGTATGAAAAAGGTCATCAGTCCCTTTTTTCAGTGCCGTTGTAGCTTTGAACAGTCACTCAATGAATTGTCGTAAGTCAAAGACTCCCTCTATTAGGTATATTTGCCACTTTGAATTAGTTATGAAATTATAAAGGCGGAATAAAAAAAAAATCTAACAATTAGAAAAATAGAACTGTAGAGCTACATTACTCCATAAATCCAAATTGGGAACAATTCAAACTCTTCGTTCTGGAGATTTTGCCCATTCTGTTGCATCGCTAGTTGATCCAGAGGAAAGCTACCAGGACTCTGTTATGGATCTCTGATCAAGGATAAGCCTCTCATGTCCACTTGCCTCTCGGATACTCACAAGCCTTCCTTCTGTCCATCCACCAGGGCCTGGAAGAGGGACTTGTTCTGTGGGATGGTTTGCAAGATGCCTCCATCTGTCGTCACGTAGCCGATTGCCCACTGGCCCAGCCGGGTGCAACTGAGCCGGAAAATGTAACTGGGGGAGAAAGACAGCAAGAACTGAATCTGAAATTGGGGTGGTAGGGAGACCACAGGGGGAGCTCTGGCTAGGCAGAATGCTTTGCAGGCAAGCCAGTTTCAACTCGAGTGTTGGCAGAGGTTAAGCTAGGAAAAGGCAAGCTTCCTGCAGAATCTGGGGTTCTCAAACGTGGCCAATTAAAGATATTTAGACTCCAACTCCCAGAATTCCCCAGCCAAGATCACATGATCACAATTTGCAATCTTCCCTGCTGGCTTCCCACAATGTCAATGGGGAAGCCGGTGGGAAATCGAATGTTTGGGTCACATGAAGCCCTCACATAATGACCCACAGTGTTTTGCTTAATGATGCTGATTGGGGACTGCCAAAACTCCTGTTGCTAAGCAGCGAGGCTACGTAACATTGTGCTTCATGACCTCATTGCTGAACGATGGAAATTGGAGTCCCCATGTCCGTCGTTAAACAAGGACTACCTGTAACAAGCTGTGTGTAGTTTTATAGTGCTTCCAGGAAAGACTGATTTTTTAAAAAAACATTTTATTAAAGTGTATTATAAGATCTCATCCACTAGCAGGGGCCTGAGAGAGCAGCTCTTTTGAGATCCAACCCCCCCCCCCCGATTAATAAAATCCATAGAATTTACCTGCCAGGTTTGTTGACATATGCCTGCAACCGTGTCTTCACCTCGTCATAGGTGAGGAACGCCATGTAACCTGGATGTGTTACCGCTAGATACGTCCAGTTCTTCAACAAGGATGGCCAAGGCTAGGAAGAGAAAAAGAGAGAAGAATTAGATGGGGAAGCAAAGCAGATAAAAAAAAATGCTATCTTAAATTCAGATGCATGTTGCACAGCCAACAACTTGTTGCAAGGAAAAGAGAATCAATTGACTAGTTTTTTTTTTTTTAAAAGAATTTGCCTTGGGATATATCACAGCTTACTCTTCACAGTTTTCTCATTCCACACAGCTGCTTGAGCCTGACGACATTGATCATTTTGTGAAGTGTTGTCAAGCGTGAACAATAGGACCCACAGTGCAGAATTCGAGCTAATTGCTTTAAAATGTTCTGCCTAGAACAGAGGTCCCCAACCTTGGCCACTTTACCCCTTGTGGACTTCAACTCCCAGAATTCCTCAGCCAGCCATGCCAGCCATGACTTGTGGACTTCAACTCCCAGAATTCCTCAACCAGTCATGCCAGCCATGCCAGCCATGACTTGTGCACTTCAACTCCCAGAATTCCTCAGCCAGCCATGCCACCCATGACTTGTGGACTTCAACTCCCAGAATTCCTCAGCCCATCATGCTGGCTAGGGAATTCTGGGAATTGAAGTCCACGAGTCTTAAAGTTGTTAAGATTGGAGATCCCTGCTGGAGAGGTATCTCCCAGTCTGGCAGACAACTCCTGGGAACAATTTTAGAGAAGGCTCCAAGTAACTTAAACCGGATCCGTCTAAGCCCTTTTGCGCTTGTGCAGTGACTCCAAATTAACTCTGCCCTTGATTCCTCCTCCCTGCCAGGGCTGGGTGCGCCCTAAGATGTGTCGAAACGCAGAGCTCTTTGCAAAATCGATTTATTTATCAAAAGTACACGCTGCTCATCTCGCCTGGAGGCCACGGCAAGGTGCTGCAAACTCAAGAGCGCTGGAGACGGTAGAACGCAACTTTTTCCACTGTGGTACCACCAATTGGCTGTGTGGCTAAACGGGGGGGAGTGCCCACTTCCTCTGGACCGCCCGGTTTCCGCCACTAGCCCGCCCTGCCCTTCTGCTAGCCTGCACCCACAACCGCTCTGCTGGAAATGTAGTTTCTCTTCCTTTGGCCCTGAGATGTTAGGATGGCCCGGAGACCCACCCTCTTTGGTTCCCCCTGGATGGGTCTTTCTGGAAATCCCCGCAAAGGGGTCAGTTCCTACGAAGCCGCCGATTGGAACCCGGCGGTTCTTTGACACCCATTCTTGCGGTTTTAGTTTGGTGACTTAAGCCAGGAAGAGCTGTTTACTGAGCATCTCCGTTTTCAACCCACACTTTTGCAGCACGCAGGCTTGTTTTTCCTCTTTCAGAAATGGAAACTTTGCCGCGCCGGGTTTGAGTTATTGACCCTCACTTTCCACCCACCCTGGCAGCCTAGAAGGGTGGACTTTGCAAAGCCACATCCTGCCCGCGGTCAGCAACTCTCCGACGGATAGGCAAGACAGAAGAGAGAGAAACGGCACCAAGCATCAACAAGGATCTACGAGGCTGCTGTCTTTGCCCCCAATTCAGCTCGCTTGCTCCTAAAATCTTCCCAATTTCTTCTTGTTTCAAACACTTCGATGATTCCCCATGTGTGGCATGTTTCATTGTCAGTGTTAAATAGGAACATGGCTTGGTTTGGTGGTGAAGGCACCAAGCTACAAACTAGGAGACTGTGAGTTCTAGTCTAACCTTAGGCATGAAAGCCGGCTGGGGGGACTTTGGACCAATCACCAGGTGACTGTGAGTTCTAGTTCCACTTTAGGCATGAAAGCTGGCTGGATGACCTTGAGTCTGTCCTCTCTCAGCTTGGCCCACCTTATAGGGTTGTTGTTGTGGGGAAAATAGGAGGAGGAAGGAGTATCAGGTTATGTTTATTATAAAAAATAATAAAGGCGGGATGAAAGAAAAGTTAAATAAATATAATTAAATAAAGAGCTTCCCATGATCTACCTGGAAGAGACGAGTGAAAATGTCAAATTCAAATATGGAGATGTGGCCACTGCAGGTCAGGTCGATGGTGGACTTCAAGGCTGTGGCCATCGGACCAGAATCTACTGGATGGACCTGCTGGAGACCTTTTTGAAATTCAGACCAGGGAACCAGGCTCCTACGGAGAAGAAAGAAAGAACGGATGCAGCTGCCAAAAAAAGCCAACACAGTGCTGGGTTGCATTAACAGAGGGATAGAATCAAGATCATGTGATGAGTTAATACCACTTTACAATGCCTCGGTAAGGCCACACTTGGAATACAGCATCCAGTTTTGGTCACCACGATGTAAAAAAGATGTTGAGACTCTAGAAAGAGTACAGAGAAGAGCAACAAAGATGATCAGGGGACTGGAGGTTAAAACATATAAAGAACAGTTGCTGGAATTGGGTATGTCTAGTTTAATGAAGAGAATGACGAGGGGGGACAGGATAGCAGTGTTCCAATATCTGAGGGGCTGCCCCAAAGAAGAGGGAGTCAAGCTATTCTCCAAAGCCCCTGAAGGCAGGACAAGAAGCGACGGATGGAAACTAATCAAGGAAAGAAGCAACCTAGAATTAAGGAGAAACTTCCTGATAGTGAGAACAATTAACCAGTGGAACAACCTGCCTCCAGAAGTTGTGGGTTCTCCATCACTTGAGGTTTTTAAGAAGAGACTGGACAGCCATTTGTCCGAAATGATATAAGGTTTCCTGCCTGAGCAGGGGGTTGGACTAGAAGACCTCCAAGGTCCCTTCCAACTCTATTATTCTGTTTGTATGGCAAACCGAGAGTGGGACCCAGGGGAATTACGAAGTGGACTGAAGCGATATTTATGCATGTTTCAGCATCCTGTGAAGAAGCGTGCAGAGGAAAGTCTGAAAAATGTCCAAGAAAGTGATATATGTAGATCTCTTTATAGATCTTCCATTTCCAAGGTCGGGGAATCAGAGATATCATTAAACCATTTCAGTTCAAAGGTTGATGCTCTTTCTTGTTATGGTCAGCATGCACACGCACACATACACACACACACACACACACACACACAGAGTGCCTCGCAAGGATTTATGAAAAGGTAATAACTTATTTATGTTTTATTTTTCTAGGCTGATAGGCCCTTTCCATCCAACGTCAACTCTAAGAGGCTTTCAATCCTATCGATTCTAGATAAACAGGATTATAAAGTAGTGGCTATCACCAACCGTAGCATCGTAAAACATCGACAGAAAACGCACTTAGAATCCAATCCAAGCTGAAGAACAACAATAGTCAATCGTGCTTCGTTAATCAAGAGAGAATCCAAATCAATTTGGACTTTTAAAGGCTTGTTGAAATGATTTCGTATGGCTTTTCCCAATCCCGATAGAATTGGGCTGAATCAAAAGTTTTTTCCAGAAAAAAGACCAAGGATTGTGAAAGCTCCCCTCAAAAATGGTGTGAATAACATTTATTTATTCATTTATAAAATCTATCAACCGCTCATGTTATTACAAGATAACTCTGGGGCAGGGGTGGGGAACCTTGGCTCTTTCATGACTGGTGGACTTTAACTCCCAGAATTCCTGAGCCAGCCATGCTGAGGGGAAAGGGAGAGGTTTCCATGCTTAGCCATGCTGGCTCAGGAATTCTGGGAGTTGAAGTCCACCAGTCATGAAGGGGCCAAAGTTTCCCTCATGCTGGCTCAGGAATTCTGGGAGTTGAAGTCCACGAGTCATAAAAGAGCCAAGGTTGCCTAGCCCTGCCTGGGGACTTACAATCATTAGTCCTCCACTTACAACAGTTTATTTAGTGACTGTTCAAAGTCACCACGGCACTGAAAAAAACTACTCGGGACTATTTTTCAGACTTACAACCACGGTCACGTGATCAAAATTTGGACAGTTGGCCACTGACTCATATTTACAACGGTCGCAGCGTCCTGGGGTCACGTGATCCCCTTTGGCGACCTTCTTCCAAGCAAAGTCACTGGGGAAGCCGGATTCACTTAACAACTGCGTTACTCACTTAACAAGGGCGGCAATTCACTTAACAACCGTGGCCAAAAAGATCGTAAAGTGGGCCAACACTAACTTAACAAGTGCCTCGCCGAGCGAGAGAAATTTTGGGCTCAGCTGTGGTCGTAAGTCAAGGACTTCCTGTCCTATTGATGGAAAGAGATCTCATCGCCCGGGAAGGAGTTGCAAAGGTCTTGTAAAACTGGTTTTCGGGTGCTCACCGTTCCCCCCAGGTGCCCCTCCAGAAGACGTGGGCCTCTTGCTTGCTCAGCTGGTACGTGCTGCCTTGGTCCTCCCTGTTGGGAAACACGGCTTGTAGTTCAGCCAACATGTGACTGAAGATCAGGGAAAGCTTTGTTAGATTCCTCCTGCAAGCAGAAATGAAGGAAAAAGTTGAATTAATGTTAATACCATTTAATAACGCCTTGATAAGTCCACACTTGGAATACTGCATCCAGTTCTGGTCACCACGATGTAAAAAAGATGCTGAGACTCTAGAAAGAGTACAGAGAAGAGCAACAAAGATGATCAGGGGACTGGAGGCTAAAGCATATAAGGAACGGCTGCTGGAATTGGGTATGTCTAGTTTAACGAAGAGAAGGACGAGGGGGGACATGATAGCAGGGTTCCAATATCTCAGGGGCTGCCCCAAAGAAGAGGGAGTCAAGCTATTCTCCAAAGCACCTGAAGGCAGGACAAGAAGCAACGGATGGAAACTAATCAAAGAGATAAGCAACCTAGAACTAAGGAGAAACTTCCTGACAGTGAGAACAATTAACCAGTGGAACAACCTGCCTCCAGAAGTTGTGAATGCTTCAACACTGGAAGTTTTTAAGAAGAGACTGGACAGCCATTTGTCTGAAATGGTGTAGGGTTCCTGCCTGAGCAGGGGGTTGGACTCGATGACCTCCAAGGTCCCTTCCAACTTTATTATTATTATTATTATTATTATTATTATTATTATTATTATTATTATTATTATTATTATTATTATTATTATTATTATTATTATTAT